CTGATCAGGAGTTTGGTTCAACGGTGAGAACAACATTTAAAATGCAGCTGTCCCTGTCCATAAACTCACCTGGTTAACTTTAATCTGACATTTGAACATCACATTTTGAAATAAAATATGAGAATTTGTCTAAAATTAATGAGAACTTTTCCAAAATTACTCGTCAAATTGTCCAAAATATCTAAAAATGTGTCCAAAATTACCGCTAAGCTAAATTAAAGTGAATGTGACATTAAAACTTCCCGTTTGATTCGGTTCAAACTCGTGTTCCCGGGCTCCAGACCAGCTCTTTCACTGGTCACCCTGGTGCCACCAACATCCTTGGCTGGAGGCACCTGGTCACTGGTTAAACACCTCCCTAGCCGAACATCTGCCTGTAGGTCGACTCCACATTTACCGCCGTCCCCTAAACGCCTCACAGTGCAGGAAGCAGTAGATGCTGCTGGGTGAGCTCAGCGGAGAAAACAGCACATGTGAGAGCAAAGCGCATTTTTAACTGTAAAGACGGCAGCCGATGGTTTTCAAATGGTTACGAGAAGCTGACATCATGATGGTGATGAATAACGGTTTAATCCTGCTGCGTTAGCCACTGTAATCACACGTACTGCATTCTCCTGCACCGGTTCAGCACCCGCCTGCCTACACCTGAACTCTGGTCAACAGGTGTGAGTCGGACCCGTCTCTCCGCTTTCCTCAGTTCTGTCTGAGGAGCCAAACAGCTTGTTGTACACATCAGGCAGGAACAGACTGACAGAACCACAGATGACGTTAAAGTTCTGCCTTCCACCACGGTGACGAACACAGTCGTGACCTGCACCGGCTGGAGCGACGCCAAACAGCTCATCATCATCATCATCATCATCATCATCATCACACAAACGCAACCGTGTGAAACTTTAACTTGCAAACTCTCATAAAAAGGTTGTGTACGTGTATGAGCCCTGTGTTTGGTTTCTCAGCTGCTGCAGTAACTGAAGGAGACCAGAAGCTTCTCTGTGCACAGAGAAGCAGGGAACATCTGGAAACAGCAGCGTCTACTGAAGACTGTGAGGCATTCAGGGAACATCTGGAAACAGCAGCGTCTACTGAAGACTGTGACCATCGCAGAACAACTAAATACTGCCATGTCCGTTTTACCCATCATCACTAACACCGGGCTGGACCCGAACAGCTGACTAGTCGCTCACTGTGCTGGAATCAGTTTTGATGTCCGAATAACAGAGATTACAGACATATTTGTTTTTTTAATTTATTACTGATGCATATGATGTTTAATGCTTTGCTGCATGTTCTTGTTCTTGAACTCCTCTCTGTGGTAAAGTTAAACAAACACTAAAGGACAAAGTGTAAACAGTCAAATGTTCTGCCTGTGACTCAGATCTTTGTTGTTGTAGCGTTAAGGGACCAAAAAAGAAGCTATTTTATTGACTATATATTTTCTTTAAATCATCGGCCGATAAATTTGTTACTGGAATTTTTTTCTGCCAAATATCGGCATCGGCCTCAAAACATCCATATGGGTCGGGCCCTGATCCAAACTGCAGGAGCTACATCTTTAGATAAATTGAAAATGTGTCACAACACTTAATACCTGTGGTGCTACAGGGAGCCATTATTCACTCCCAGTATTTTTTTCACTAAACTGTGCGATGGCATCCTCTCCGATGTGAATGTTTTCTGGTTTCTTTCCTCCTCTGTGACCGTAAACTGAAGATCTTTGGACAAAACAAGACATCTGAGGAAACTCTGATCCACATTTTCACCATTTCCTGACTTTTAGAAACTAAACAGCTGACCAAAAAAAAACAACAAAAAACAGCAGCAGATACATTCGTTAGTTGCAAATATGTTGATCGTAACACGCCAGAAACTGGGCGAGTCCTTTGAAGACCGCCACAGCCTCCCCGTCACCCATGGAACTTCCTAAATGATGCACGATGAGAATCTCCTCTAGAACCACCGTGACAACCAAAACAACTCTGAGAATGACCACAAAAAAAACAAAAAATGTAAGGGACAAAAACAGTATATTGAACCTCCAAAACAAATATGTGAATTGCATAATCTCTAGAACCTCCTTGACCACCGCGAGAAGTTCAACTTCCACAAGAACCTCCCTGAGGACCTCCTGAACGACTATAAGAACCAAGTTAGGGACATGGAGAACCTCCTCAGTGATCAAGAACTACATTTCGTATCTCTGGAACTAACTAACTTACCTCACAAACCATTGCCAGGGCATCTAGAACCTCCTGATGGACGTCTAGAATCACCTCCATGAGCTCCAGAATGTCAGTGACCACAGCAATGGTGTTCAGACCGCTACAACCTCCTGGATGACCCACACAACCTCATGACTGACAGCATGATCGTCTCAGTGACAAAAACCCTTTATGGACCAACAGACGCACCACAAGAACCTCCACAGTGACAAGAACCTTCACAAGAACCTTGGTGGCCAACAGGACGACTATAAGGACTTCAAGAACCTGCTAGACGACAAGAAGAACTTCGTGAAACAGCACCAGAACAACGAACTGATGGAGTTCACTGACCTCCGTCGTGACAGAAGAAAGCCCGTAACTACGAGCAGAACATGACGGAGTGACTGTGGTGAAACTGCTGCTTGCCATGCTAGTAGCACCATCTGTCAGAGAAGTTGTACGGAGCGTTGCCCTGGTAGTTAGCAGCCTAACTAGCTGTGACAGTGTTCCGACGGCAGCAGGAGTCCCTCGGGTGTCACACACTTGACACCAATGCTGTGAATTAGACTAAACTGTGCAAACTGAGCAGCTAGCTCTTAGCCGTTAGCTTCCTCGGACCGCCCAGTTGACTGATCACTTCTCTGTTAGCATTAGCCTTAGCTAGCAGGCTAGCTGTTAGCGCGCACTACAACTAGTGCATCCCGGCTCCGCGGCGCGCTTATTCACCGCCCCGCTTTAAATGTTAATGACAGGAGTCAAGTTAGGGCAGGAAACTGTCCGAAAACTGAGGAGCAAAGCTGCACAAGAGTCGAGACAAGAGAGAAAAAGAGCCCTTACTGATTTGATGCAATTCTCCTTTTCCTCTCCAGCTTTCCAGCCAACTTAAAGCGATGTGTTCAAATCCAACAGCGAACTTCTCCGAAAGATAACATCTGTTTCATAAGTCTGGCATGATAATATTTTCCGACGGAACATTCCCGTTGGTCGTGGAGGGTAAAAACGCGGTTCTAGCGCTGAAAATTGGCGAAAAATTAAAGTTGAAGCGGTCGCTCCGTCATGGAGGCCATGTTTGGGAGCGACCGAAGCACCGCCTGTCAGCGCCAGCAGGAGAAGTAGGTCCCCGAAAACGCTTACTACCGCAACGGAGCACCAACGTTCAGAGCGCAGAGTCGTTCTTTAATGTCCGAAGAAAGGCGACATCCACCGGGAGTGAGGGTTTGAAACGTGCCGGTGTTTGTGCGTCCGCGCCGGACTGCCTTAATTTGTTTGTGTTGTGTAAAAAGTGTGTCTGACCCCGCGGAGGGATCCGTGGGAGGGCTGCTCGGGTGAAGCGGTCTCTGTCATCAGACACGAAGTCCCGGACCGGAGCGCGCGGATCCGGACTGCTCCCGCACGTGCCCCCAACATGGACACATAAACACCACAAACACACACTGAAGGAA